CTGGAGATGTGAATGTCATTTATATCTAAAAATATTCATAATGGCAACTAATCAACACATTAACCATATTGGAAATAACACTGGAAAATGCATACATTTTACAGGGGAAAAAATTCATTCTGAGGTTATAGAAATAACATTAAAATAAAAAAAACAACCAGGGCCTCAGCCACACGGGCAGGAAAATGTGGGGGGGAGGCGTGGCTGTTTGCCCCAGAGCAAACGAACGCGCGACTGCGCGATCAGGTGTCGGGTTGAGGTCCCGTCAAGCTCCCATGGTTAGGGGGGAGGTGCCGATCATGCCACGGCAAAGAAGCGGAGCAGCGCGGCAAATGGGGTTGTGGTTTTTTTAAAAAAACTGAAATGTGCGCATGCTCCATTGGGTGCTTGTGCGCATCCGTGGAGACTTGTGGGGAAAAAAACCTTTTTGCGAGGGGACATGGGCGGGCACCAGAACTACCACTGGAAACGCGATCAGATGCCCGCCCTTGCTCCGCGGTTTCCGGAAACTAGTATACCTCCGAGGTACTAGTTTTTTACCCCGCATCTTCGGTGGGAAGCCTCGGGTTCGCCACGGGAGCTCTACGCTTCCCAGATGTGGCAGTGAGATCGCACCCGGAAAATCCACCTATCTTCCGTCTCTCTAGCGTGCCTAATGCTCCGTGTGACCGGGGCCCAGGTTCAGTTCACAGAAGCAAAACTGAAATTGGTATTCTCGAGTCAAAATAGCAGGGATGTGACAATCATAGCAATCCCGAGATGTTACACTATATATCATTGCTATTTTTTCTTCTAATAGTAGCATCGCTCTTGCAAATCAATCCAGCTCTGTTCACGGCAGAGGTTGTGCCACCCCTGTTGTGGTTCTCAGGTATGTTACAATTTAGGGTTGCCGCCTCCGGGTTGGAAATGACTGGAGATCTGGGGGAAGACCCTGGGGAGGGGAGGGACTTCCACAGGATAGAACACCATACGGCCCACTCTCCAAAGCAACCATTTCATCTCTGTAGTCTGGAGGTCAGTTCTAATTCCCGGGGGTCTCCAGGTCCCACCTGGATGTTGGCAACCCAATTTAAGCTGTGGTCACCAACACCTTTACCCTGCATGACTGGACTAGGGTTGCAAAGCCTCCAGGTGAAGGCTGGAGATCTCCTGGGATTACAACTAATCTTCAGGCGACGGAGATCAGTTTACCTAGACAAAAAGGCCGTTTTGGAAGGTGGACTCTATGGCATTCTACACCGTTGATGCCCCTCCCCAAACCCCGCCCTCCTCAAGCTCCACCCCCAACATATCCAGGTATTTCCCTACCCATATCTGGCAACCCTAATTGACCGCATGGTACAGGATCGCCAGAGCTGGGTTGGAAAGTACCTGGAGACTTTGGGGGGGGGGGGGATCTGAGAGAGGGGGGGGTTTGGGGAGAAAGGACGTGGAGACTTGGGGGGGGGGGAGCCGGGAGAGGGCGGGGTTTGGGGAAGGGAGGGGCCTCAGCATGGTACAACGCCATAGAATCCACCCTTCAGAGCAGCCATTTTCTCCAGGGGAGCTGATCTCTGTCAGCTGGAGAGCAGTTGTGAAAGCGGGAGACCTCCAGGCCCCACCTGGAGGCTGGCAACCCTAGCATGGTATCGACTTCAGTGGCACCACAACTGGAGAATATTCCATTCCCCCCAAACTGTTCGTAGCTCAATAAACAGTATTTTCCAGGCGGTGCCAGCCAGTCTCTCGTTCTTCGCTTTGGCATCATGGCATTGTGAAGATTATCAAGGCACGCAGGACGGTTTAGAATCCTTCCTCGCCCGTCATAACCTGCAGATTTACAGCAGAAGGAAGAGGAACAAGGGAATCCGCAGGCCTTAAAGACTTCACAGGAAGCTCCTTGCGGCGAACAATGACCCAGAGACGCATTTTTCATGCCACACATTCCTGATCGCTCTGAGCAGTTATCGCTGCTCCCATTGTGGAAGAGACATGCGACTTCAAACCCTAGAGACGTCTTTCGGCGCGCAACAGTGCCTTCATTGTTGTGGCGTCAAAGATGTTATGCGGCTTCCTGCCTGTAGGGTTTTCGGAGGCGAGGGTTCGTCACTCATTGTTCTTTAGCAGATCATTTCGGAAGCACCGGAGCCAGCTCCAGAAGGCAGTAACCAATGTTCCCTCTAAGCTGTGGAGTTTTGTGAGCAAAAATTCCACTTTGTGAACTACTGGTATTAAAGTTGTGAGCAAGTGATTTGGCTTCTGCATAAATCAGTTTGCTTTGGAGCCATCCTTCCTAAGGCAAAAATATGTGAGCTGGAGGCTAAAAACTGTGAGCTAGCTCACACTAACTCAGCTTAGAGGGAACATTGGTAGTAACGCTGGGCATTTGCTGGGATTGTGAAACCCAGAAGACACCCAACTGGCCCATGTTCATGTTGGTAAAGGTAAAAGTAAAGGTTCCCTTGCTCGAAATCCAGTTGAGTCCGACTCTAGGGTTGCGGTGCTCGTCTCCGTTTCCAAGCCGAAGAGCCAGCGCTGTCCGAAGACATTTGCGTGGTCATGTGGCCGGCATGACTAAACACCGAGGCACACGGAACACTGTTACCTTCCCACCAAAGCCGTACCTATTTATCTACTTGCAATTCCTTGCTTTCGAACTGCTAGGTTGGCAGGAGCCCCGTCATGTTGGACAGGGCAACAAAGAAGGTATGTGGATGCACAAGAATATTTGTACCATAGTGCCCTGACCTGGAGAGCCCAAGCAAACCCAACCTCCAAGGAATACCAGGGCTGGGATGCAGAGGCAGGCAATAGCAAGCCACCTCTCTGAAATGTCCAAGCTCCACTAAGGGTCACCAGACGTCAACCACGACTTCCTGGCATACACAGACACACAAATACACACAAAAAAAGAATATTTGTATCATATTTTTTAATCATTTGTACCTTCTGCATAGAGTTGCCACTCTCCAGGAGGTCTAGAATAAATAAATGGAAGTACAGCAAACAGGGTTGTGCATATAACAACACAGTCAATAACTGTAACGCTGTATCCCAAAATACTTGACACTTGATTCAAACCATTCTTATATTAACAGTGTAGTACTCTTTTTATATATATATATAACTGCCCCTAAGGACAGAGGAGCTGCGGTGGCTCAAGTGGTTAAGACGCTGAACTGCAGGCTGTGGAAGGGCAGTAGTTCAGCAGTTCGAGACCCGGGTGCCGCATGATGGAGTGAGCTCCCATCTCTAGTTCCAGCTCCTGCCAACCTAGCAGTTCGAAAGCAAGAAACTGCAAGTAGATAAATAGGTACCACTTCGGTGGGAAGGTAACAGCGTTCCGTGCACCTTGGGGTTTAGTCATGCCGGCCACATGACCACGGAAACGTCTTTGGACAGCGCTGGCTCTTCGGCTTTGAAACGGAGATGAGCACCGCAACCCTAGAGTCGGATTCGACTGGCTTTCGAGCAAGGGAACCTTTACCTTTACTAAGGACAGAATGTTATTAAATTTTTAACACAATACGCTATAGACTTAACAAACAAACCGTAAAACAAACATACACACATAACATTGATGGGGTAGTAGATTTTCATAATCAGTACATTGCTTATGCCTAAATATAAACAATATTTTCTAGTTTTATATGATGTGAGTATATATCATTACAACAGTGTAGTACTCTAAATAACCATACAGACCCATTCCAAATACACCAATGTAAATAGTCCAATACAGTTCAACAAATTCCTAACAGTTGATAAATGTCCACATAGGAGGGAAAGCCTTCCTACCTTCAGTGACCACATCCTGAATTTTGAACTTGGACTTATGAGCCACGTAGCCTAAGATAGAAAAAATGGCGAACCCTGAGAGGAAGCCTCCATTATTCAAGCTGGTCAGAACAGATATAGACTCAAGTGGTTAAGACGCTGAACTGCAGGCTGTGGAAGGTCGGTAGTTCAGCCGTTCGAGACCAGAGTGTGCCGCATGACGGAGTGAGCTCCTGTCTCTAGTTCCAGCTCCTGCCAACCTAGCAGTTCGAAAGCAAGAAAT